TAGTGTTTATTATTAATAATATTATTTGCTATGTTTGAAAAGTACCTCCTGCTTCCAAACAGATCGAATAGATTAGACTACTAGTTGGAGAAGGTCCACCTAGTAACCAAATTAGGAGACTAGGAAAACTTTTACATGACTGGGGACACAACAGGAATGCACATACACAAGATACACAAACAAACGAAATGACAGGGGTAAGCCTTCAGCAAAGTCCTGTTTAAATGATGATAGTATGTCATCCTTCATTCCCTTTTTGAAGGCATGGAATATAAATCTATTGATCTTGATTACTATAAGAGGAGTTAGCAGGTTTCGATCCAGTTTACAGGATGGGAACTTACTTGACTCGGGCCTTATACATTTGTGTTGAGTGTATGTGTGTTTCGTTTCCATGGTTTCTATTAAAATAAACAGTCATAACATATCCATACCTTTTTGCCAGACTAACATAAGTGACATTTGTTCAAATGGCACTTATGATAGTCTGGCAAAAAAGTATCGATACTATACTTTATAAAATATTTGTTACATTAGTTTTTAAATATATTATGAATATATAACTGTTACTTTCTTTGTAATTTGTCACAAAATGATAGGAGGTACTTTCTAAACGAAGCAATTGTAGTTTGTTTTTCTGTACCTTACAAAAATATAATTTATAGAAAAAGAGTTTGGTGTATTATTTTTCCAAGTTTAAATATTTAATAATCAATAGAAATTTCAAGTTTTTTTTAGCGAAATTTACAAGAGTAATAAAAACTATGTTCACTGTTTATATTAAACTGATTAAAACTTCCTTTATTAAAATGATTATTAATGTGATAAAAAATTTGATGTTATTGGAAGCTTTTATATTTTTTTAATATACAGTGAAACAATAGTTTTTGTTTCTCCTGTAAATTTGTATAGACAAACTATTTACTTCTGAATCCATGTTTGAATTTCCCGCCCTAAAGCATTTTTAATTTTCCCGCTATTTACTAGTGGCGCCATCATAGACTGGTTGTGGTTACAATCGCCCAAATAACTTTTACCGAACAAAAAAAATACTTTGAGTTACACGTCTCGCTGGATTGTCTCTGGTACTTCTAAATAGTGTTGTCTACACACACTTCTAGAAATAAATGCAACGTTGCCACGTTTACCAGATAAATATTGCAAATCAAATTTCTACTTTTTGATTATGGTCTGGTTAATTTTCAGCCTGAGTAATAATAATTGTTTTAATTAAAAAGTAAAAAATAAGATCCAGCTTTAAATCTGAAAATATAAGTTCATGATGTTTAGAAAAATAATGGAATTTTACTATTTAAATTACATATATAAATGCAGAAATGCTATATTAGGGATACTTCCGACAACCCCGCCGTCTTTAAGCATAACCGATACGAGACGTGAACGGAATTAGGGATTTTCTGACGCAATGAGTCACTGAAAGAATTTTATGGGAATTCCCTTACTTCTAGCAAAAATATCTTAACGGGAAAAGTACCACCAGACAAAAGAGTTTAATATCTTTATAAATATATAATTAATTCACATTCAAAAATGAAAGTGAACGGGCCCATTGGCAAAGAAATATTATTATTTGAAATTATTTGAGCATTTAGCAAATCAATATGAATATTCAATGAATTTAATAAATCTATTCCTAATAGTCCATCAAATATGCAATTAAATTTATATACAAAAAATTTTATATTCTGTTTTGTTTGGAATTCTGGGAATGCCGGAATGGTTACTGAAAAGTTATGATTGGAGGAGCTAAAAGCAGTTGAAATAATAAATGGTTCCTTTATTTTAATTTTTGAAAAGTATTTATCAACAGCTTCTGGAGATAAAAATGATCGAGTTGCCCCGGTGTCTAATAAAAGTTTTAATGGTGGATTATTTATTGCAATATAAGGTAATTGTCCTTTATCAAGTGAATTATAAAATTCTATCATGGTTTCGGATTTGGGAGGCTGGGCTCCTGAAAATTTTGGTAATTATCGCCAGAAGGAGAGTCTACAATTTCGTATTCGCAATTGCTGCTCACAAAATCGATTGAATTATCTGCCAAATTGCAATGTTCGACATTATTTAATTCTTCAGATACCCATCTACGATTTTGGGGTAATTGATTTCTGGAATTGCCAGAAATTTGACGGGAAGTCGTAGGTACTCATTGGAGTAGGCCTAGGTGAATTATTTTCATTAAAATTAGGATTTGGTTCTCAAACGTTTTGTTGAGGTCCAAAGACCTGTCGGTTTGTGAAAAATCTTTGATTAGCTACTGGTCTAGGTTGAATGTTTACAGGACCAGTAGGAAACGAACCTCTATAATTACTATTGTTATTATTTCTATAATAGCTAGTGCTAGGTTGATTAAAATTTGTTTGTTGGTTATTATTAAAATTTTGATTTCTGTTAACAAACTGATTGTTATTGTTTAGGCGATAGTTTTGAATAGTTTTATTAGAGTTATTCTGTCTATGTTGGTGGTTGGGGCTTTTTATTGAAATTTGAGAGTTATTTGAATGCGCATTTTGTAAATATTTAATATTATCCTCTTTTCTTATAAAATTAATTGCCTCGAGCAGTGTTTTGGGATCTTTGGTACGAACCATGATACCATAAGGATTTCTTAACCCAGCTAAAAATACTTGAAGAGCTTGTTCGTTATATGATTTCTGTTTAAATTTTCTTATATCTAAGTTGAGTTCATGCAAACCGAGGTAGTTTGAAATAGTGTTTAATAATTTCCTGACCTTTTCATAAAATTCATATGGGCTCTCGTTAGGAGCTTGCCTTAAATTATTTAAATCCAACAATAAGCAACTTTCATTTCGGGGATCACTAAAATTCATAATCAACTCTTCCTTAATTTCTTTTATTTTAGTGGCTCCACTAATATTAATTACTTCGCGAGCGGGTCCATGCAATTTACTTATAATCGTTCTAAATATTATAACATTCTGATAGTTTCCAATATTTACGTTATCATAAAAATGGGTAACTATGCTATCAATACTTTCTAGGAAAAATATCAACTCGTTTTCGTCGCCATAAAAATCAGGTATGGTATCCGCGTGAACTTTTTGAAAGTTAGGGGGAGGAGTCATTGTTTGATTTAAAATATTTGTCAATTTACTAAAATTAGTTGGATAATTATTATCGTTAATATTAATCGAGTTAAAACTTTCAATTACAAAATCTAGCTCTAAATCAGATTCGTGATCACTAAAGGATAAGGAATCAATGTTAGAGGAGTCTGACATATAAGAAAAATAAAACTTACAGTACGGTTTTCGTTTGCATCGAAGGTCCGGCTGTCGTCTTAACCAAGGAAGTCTCCAGTACAGTTCTTTGGTAGCACCACAAAACTTTTCAACGCGATGGAAAGTTGGTGCGAAACGTTGAAAGTTCGTAATTGTCACTTAACTATAAAAATAGCGAAAGTTATCCACGTCGGATTCTTCGTGACAATCCTACTGACTGCGCCAAAAATATAACACGATTTGAAAAATCGTTTTTTAAAAAAAATATTTTTTATTTAAACAGTTATAATTATGTCTTTATTATATGAAAGCTAACATCAGACTAAAAAATGTAAAAAATAATCATTGTTAACACATGTATGCTGATAAAAGAAACTTGAGCTGCCGGCTGGTGGGATTCTTAGAATTTCTGGGCACTTCGGCAGTTTCTGTGATATAATTCGGGATAAAAAACTGTACGTATTATAAAGTGTGACACCTTATTTGAAAGCAAATTTAATTACTAATTCAATGCACCACATAACATTAATTAAATATCCTCCGTATTGCTCTTGCAATAGTTTGAAAATTAGTCATGCATTATTTTAAACATTATTGCTAACTTTATTTTGTTGCACGTGCAATATGGAAATATTTATATTAATGTTATGTAGTGCATTAAATTAGAAATTAAATTAGCTTTCAAATGACGTGTCACAGTTTATAATACTTTACAGGTGTTTTTATCCCGATAAAGGGCGCTAAAATTAAAAGTATCGCAATAAGCAGTCATATTTCTGACTTCCCCATAAAATTACCTTTTTAATGATATGGTACATTCCTTATTTAAAATTCAGGGGTTGGAGAAGTGGAAGGGAGGGAGTTGACACATGACAGATGTCTGTAATGTAAGGATGTGTTTAATTTGGAATAAAAATCTACCTGTTTTAGCATTTTCTAAAAATCCAATGATTAATACCGAAAAACAGGATGAAACTGTTTTGAGTGACTCACTCTGCATATCAAAAACGGATAGATGTATCGAATTACAGTAGAACTCCAATTATCCGAACTCCGACTATCCGAATCGCCGATTATCCGAATCACAAATGCGCGTCAAGTCTTGACGGAGATGTTTAAAAAACAATGATTTTTATTTCTAAACTTGTACATAAGTACATTTTATTTATATTTAAAACATGTGAAAATTTCATGTTTCTTTCATTTAATTCAATAAAAAAATAGTGCAATATCAAAACGTAGCTTTTATTCTCTCCAATGGCAATTTTTTAAAAAAAAATCCGATTATCCGAATATTTGATTATCCGAATGGGTCCCGGTCCCCATTAATTCGGATAATTGGAGTTCTACTGTAGTTTATAGAACAAAATATGCCTAAAAATGCATTTTTTTATAAGATGCGCTATATAAGAAAGATCCTCCCATCGAAAAAAAAAAAAAAAAAAAAAATATTCAGCGCAGCGCCATCTATATATTGACCTATTTAAAATTAACTTATATCTAAAACTGAAGCTCTTCTAGCGCTCTATGAATTGGCTTTTACAGAATTAAAATATCTCTATTACTTTCCAAAATATCTGGCCTGGGACTTTTTATAAGAACATATTTTAAAAAAAGATGGCATGTTTATGAAATGAAATATTTCTAGTCCAAGATATATTATTTTTATTAGGTTTTTACTTTTCTGATAATAAAATATTTATGTCATTATACAATTTTAAATTATCACTCCTAATAATATAAATAAATAAAATAAATAAAAATATTAGAATTTTATAAAATATATATGCACTTCAGAAACAAAGACTGACAAAATTTAATTTATTATTTTATAGAAAATTAAATCCCATAATTCTTAAATTTCTTACAAAAGTTTAATAAATATAAAACAATTTCTAATCATATTGACAAGAAAAATGTAACCTGAATACTGAATAGATACCTACTTACTGAATAAGTATTTTCAAAGGTTACTTAAAAAACTTAGAGAATTTGTCAAATAAGCAACTGATTTTAATTCTATTTTCGAAAATTTACATTTCTTTTGACAATTATTTCTATCCAACAGCTAATTATGAAATAATTTATTGTTAAAAAGTTATATTTGATTAAGAATGAATGTTACAATAAATTATATCGAAATCTGCTTCTGAAAAGTACCTTTTTTTCAATAATTACTGCTGAATTACTTGTGACGTTGCCAGCTGTTTTCAAAAATCCTGGATCGTTCTTCGCGTTTATTTTTCGTAAGCTGTTTAGTTTTCAATTCATATTATACAGGATGGCTACCTTTTAACTGAAATAAATTGCTACTATACATTTGGAAATTAGTATTTCTTGTAGACGAAGATTTTTATTATATCTTTACATTTTAATTAAAAAGTAGCCACCACCCTGTATACGATATTTTTTAATTAGTTTTGATGTCTGCTGTTGTCCATATGAATTATTCTGTTAAATAAGAATTTAAAAAAATACAATTAACTCACAGTATCTTTTACAACTCATCGTTAAGTATATTTTTACTTCTACCTAGTCTTCTAATTTCATTACTCGACTTATTTTCGGGAGCTTCACATATAAAGTTGTATCTTATAGAGCAGTCTGTACCCTTATAATGATAGAAACGCAGTGCAGGATTGTAAGCTAATCTCAAACATCTTCCTTCACCATGAATTGCGGCTGAAGGATTTTCTTTGTTGTTTTGAGAACCCGGTGCAGTGACTGGTCTAGCGCTGTTACTCCATATCCAAAGGAGTCCGGGATTCAGACCTCCTACCCAAAAGTCCCTACCTGAAATTAGAAAATTGTTCAAATAATTTCAATTATTTGTCCTTCTAAAAGAAATCGATGAGTAAATTTATTAAAAAATAATGATAATTGTCCCGTCAATGTGTAAAATGATTTTTAAACGAAGAGGAACATTAAGTTTAAAAAATAAAAAAAGAAAAAAATAAATAAATCGAAAAATCAAAAAATCCAAAAAATGAAAAATCAAAAAATCGAAAGATCGAAAAATTGAAAAATCGAAGAATCAGAAAATCTAAAAATAAAAAAATCGAAAAATGTAAAAATCGGAAAATCGTATAGACAAAATCAAAAAATAAAAAAGACGAAAATGCGAAAAATCAAAAAACAGAAAATCTAAAAATCAAGACAGAAAATCAGAAAATCAGAAAATCAGAAAATCAGAAAATCAGAAAATCAGAAAATCAGAAAATCAGAAAATCAGAAAATCAGAAAATCAGAAAATCAGAAAATCAGAAAATCAGAAAATCAGAAAATCAGAAAATCAGAAAATCAGAAAATCAGAAAATCAGAAAATCAGAAAATCAGAAAATCAGAAAATCAGAAAATCAGAAAATCAGAAAATCAGAAAATCAGAAAATCAGAAAATCAGAAAATCAGAAAATCAGAAAATCAGAAAATCAGAAAATCAGAAAATCAGAAAATCAGAAAATCAGAAAATCAGAAAATCAGAAAATCAGAAAATCAGAAAATCAGAAAATCAGAAAATCAGAAAATCAGAAAATCAGAAAATCAGAAAATCAGAAAATCAGAAAATCAGAAAATCAGAAAATCAGAAAATCAGAAAATCAGAAAATCAGAAAATCAGAAAATCAGAAAATCAGAAAATCAGAAAATCAGAAAATCAGAAAATCAGAAAATCAGAAAATCAGAAAATCAGAAAATCAGAAAATCAGAAAATCAGAAAATCAGAAAATCAGAAAATCAGAAAATCAGAAAATCAGAAAATCAGAAAATCAGAAAATCAGAAAATCAGAAAATCAGAAAATCAGAAAATCAGAAAATCAGAAAATCAGAAAATCAGAAAATCAGAAAATCAGAAAATCAGAAAATCAGAAAATCAGAAAATCAGAAAATCAGAAAATCAGAAAATCAGAAAATCAGAAAATCAGAAAATCAGAAAATCAGAAAATCAGAAAATCAGAAAATCAGAAAATCAGAAAATCAGAAAATCAGAAAATCAGAAAATCAGAAAATCAGAAAATCAGAAAATCAGAAAATCAGAAAATCAGAAAATCAGAAAATCAGAAAATCAGAAAATCAGAAAATCAGAAAATCAGAAAATCAGAAAATCAGAAAATCAGAAAATCAGAAAATCAGAAAATCAGAAAATCAGAAAATCAGAAAATCAGAAAATCAGAAAATCAGAAAATCAGAAAATCAGAAAATCAGAAAATCAGAAAATCAGAAAATCAGAAAATCAGAAAATCAGAAAATCAGAAAATCAGAAAATCAGAAAATCAGAAAATCAGAAAATCAGAAAATCAGAAAATCAGAAAATCAGAAAATCAGAAAATCAGAAAATCAGAAAATCAGAAAATCAGAAAATCAGAAAATCAGAAAATCAGAAAATCAGAAAATCAGAAAATCAGAAAATCAGAAAATCAGAAAATCAGAAAATCAGAAAATCAGAAAATCAGAAAATCAGAAAATCAGAAAATCAGAAAATCAGAAAATCAGAAAATCAGAAAATCAGAAAATCAGAAAATCAGAAAATCAGAAAATCAGAAAATCAGAAAATCAGAAAATCAGAAAATCAGAAAATCAGAAAATCAGAAAATCAGAAAATCAGAAAATCAGAAAATCAGAAAATCAGAAAATCAGAAAATCAGAAAATCAGAAAATCAGAAAATCAGAAAATCAGAAAATCAGAAAATCAGAAAATCAGAAAATCAGAAAATCAGAAAATCAGAAAATCAGAAAATCAGAAAATCAGAAAATCAGAAAATCAGAAAATCAGAAAATCAGAAAATCAGAAAATCAGAAAATCAGAAAATCAGAAAATCAGAAAATCAGAAAATCAGAAAATCAGAAAATCAGAAAATCAGAAAATCAGAAAATCAGAAAATCAGAAAATCAGAAAATCAGAAAATTAGAAAATTGGAAAATTGGAAAAATTAGGAAATCAGAAAGTGAGAAAGTGAAAAATTGAGAAAGTGAAAAAGTGAGAAAATAAATAATGAGAAAATAATGAGAAAATAATGAGAAAATAATGAGAAAATAATGAGAAAATAATGAGAAAATAATGAGAAAATAATGAGAAAATAATGAGAAAATAATGAGAAAATAATGAGAAAATAATGAGAAAATAATGAGAAAATAATGAGAAAATAATGAGAAAATAATGAGAAAATAATGAGAAAATAATGAGAAAATAATGAGAAAATAATGAGAAAATAATGAGAAAATAATGAGAAAATTTAAAAGTTTTAAAGTGAGAAAATCGAAAAATCTAAAAATCGAAAAATCGAAAAACCGAAAAATCGAAAAAACGAAAAATCGAAAAATCGAAAAATCGAAAAGTTGAAAAGTCGAAAAATAGGGTATTTTAAATTGGGCAAAAAATATTACAAATGATCCCAAACGTCCTTTTTTTATTAATATTTTTGTACGAAAAAATAAAAATAAGAAATGGATTATACCACGAAGAGTTATAGATAGAATAACATAGTAGGTAGAGATATTTTATTTGCTTTATCAAAACAACCAAATCAAAATAAATGCAAAATTAAACAAAATCAAAACACTATACTATTTACCTCAAAAATGATAAAATAATTAAATACGACAGTCGCTCTTTATTTATGATCTATAATGATACCTTGTTGTCATATATTCATGAAATTAAGATAGAAAATGGAGCCTGGACTTACTCGTAACCATGGTAAAAGCGGCCACTTTCTCTGGCGGTCAGGGTATGAACTTTTTATTCGCGCCTTTAGTTCTCAATTTAATTGCAGGTTAATTTAAATTTAAAGTAATTGTTATAGTCGGTATACAAATTGGTAGATTGGTTGTTCATGAAAATCGAAATCCTATTTTATTTCACTAAATATTTTACACTTTTAAATTCAATCTTGAATGAAATCTTTATAAGTACTTTTTTTAAGGAAACTGTGTATTTCTTTCTATTACAGGTAAAATGATCTAAAATTCTTTATTGATTAACTGGAGAAATCGTATTTAAACAAAAATACCCACCAATAATTTAATTTATTCAACTAATAAACAAAATGATTACCTTTTAATTGTTGCTTAGATAAAATAAAAGTAACTAAATCTTGGTTTTCTTCAATTGTTTCCATTTCGGCCAAAAATCCACCCATCTTTTTGCAAGTTTTACTGGCTACCTTCCAATCGAATTCTCGTCCCGTTAAACTGTTAAAATGGTAACACTCATGTCCAACACGCGTAAAATTACCGGGGCATGATTCTGAAATTGTAAAAAGTCATATTAGGGCTAAGAAGTTATACAGCCTCGTAGCTGTGGTCATGAGCGACCAAGGCTATATTTGAATTTTGCGTCACCCAAAACTTCTTTTGTAGGAAAAGAAAAACTATAATAATTTCCAAAGTGAAATGAGGTTAAACATTTGATATAAAATTAGTTATTTTTTTTTTGTAGGAAGAGAAACAATAATTTTAATGTATAATTTGAGTTATGCATGTAAACATTACACGTAAAATTAGTTCTTACTTATTTTATAGAAAGGGAAACATTGCAATAAATTCAAAGTGCATGTTGGAAATACACCCAACATGTTGCATATCGGTCCATGGGGCTGGCCCTGCATAATAAAGTCCAAGAATCAATTGTTGACACAATAAATCAATTTTTATTTTAAAATAAAACACTTGCATGAGCTGAGATTTGCAGTGGAAATTAAGAGCAAGTTAACATAAACACGTGAGTGCGCTTCTGACAGCCCTAATGGCGCTGTTAATATCATGGTTTAATTTAAAATAGTGCCGCAGTGATTCGAGCAAACAATAAAAAAAAAATTTGATCAAAATAGTAATCTGTACTCACCTGTATCAATTCTATTGCCTGCCATGTTGTAATACAGCATTTCTTCTACTCTTCTTAACCTTTTCTCCATAAAATCAACTTTGTAAACCAACTTTTCAATGGCACCAAGCAGATAGAGATCCGTTTCAGAAACCTGCCGACCTCCGCTTACTTGAACTTTAGGTGGCATAATGTTGTTAACAATTTTTCCCGGTATTACTTTACTTTCTTTTGAAATATTACTCATTTTGTCTTCTGCTACAAAGGAATTCGGCGATATTGGAATTAGCATTACCCGACTTTGTCTGAAAAAAAAAAAAAAAAAATACAGAACCTTAAAACTAGTTAACCCTTTCTTGAGTTTTTGGTTCTCTTCCGTGTGCGCACAAATTTAGGCGTTGCGTTTTCATACGTCTAGAGCAGCGTAGTTCCACAGCGTATATATACGTCTGGAGCAGTTAACCGTAAAACAAACCGATTTTACGGTTATATTCAGGGCCGTATTTGTTTACTTTTCGCAAAGGTAGAATAAAACAATTACTGGTTATTACTTTACATATCGTGGACTTACTGCAAAAAGTGACTAAGTCATTTTACGTGATTTTATTTAATATGACCAAATTACTACTTGTTAAAGTCGGCCCTACCAAAACAATGACCAAGTCATATTGATTTAGTTTATTTAGTACTTTCAGGCAGTATAAATAGGACTTGGTAATTTTTTCTTTTGGTAGATCTGATTTTAACAAGTAATTTATTATATTAACTCAAACCACATAAAATTTGACTTGGTCACTTTTCGCAATAAGTCCATGATAATTATTTAGTATAACAAAATAAATATCCCTTTCAAAATTAACAAACAAAAAAATAAAATATACTTCAATATAGAGATTTTTGAAACGCAACTAATTATACAAAGTGGGTCATTACATGTGGTCAACTAGCAACATTGTAATTCTATTATGATTTTCAGAGCTAAACTTACCGGGATCATTTTATTGTTTATGATTCGTCAAAGCGGAAATTTAAAAATCTTATGTGTCCAACACATGACTTTCCTATCTAGTTATTATAGGTTTTTTCCGGTTATTTTGTACAACCTATTGCAGCACCTCTATAAATGTTTAGAGGATAAACTAAATATATACATTTTCCACATACATCTAACTCGAAACATTTTTCTATTGATATTCATTGAAAACGAAAATACTGAAAAATTATAGAGATCGATATCGCAAACAACTTTTAGTTTAAAAATTTTCTTATTTTTGCACATTTTGTCAAATTTCTCGAATACGGGCCATTTCAGGAAAATTTGACATAAAACAAAAATTATAGATAATAATATTAGAAGTAACTTTTATTTGAACAATTTTCTTTTCCAAACATAAATAACAAAATTATTCAATAAAATATAAAAACGGCCTTCCATAAAGTACCCCCCAGATGTTCCGAATTTGTCCAAAATCTAATCATTTTACGTCAGGGCGAAATAAAACTTAAGTTTAAAATTTAATGTTTTTTCCTTTATCCGTTTTTAAGTTTTCTTCAAAATTCGAAATTTACACATTTTCTCAAATGTCTCGAATACGGTCCATTTTAGAGAAATTATGTATAGGATAAAAATTATAGGGAATTATATTACAAACAACTTTTATATAAACAGTTTTTATAAAAAAATATTTTTTTACATTTTGTCAAATTTTTCGAATACGGACCATTTTAGGAAAATTTTGTATAAAACAAAAAATATTGAAAATATTACTGTAAGTAACTCTTATTTGAAGAATTTTCTTTTCTAAACGTAAATAACAGATTTATTCTATAAAATATAAAAATGACCATCCATAAAATACCCCCTCAGATGTTCCGACTCTGCCCAAAATCCAATCAGTTCATTGGACGCCGGAATAAAGCTTAAGTTTAAAATTTGGTGTTTTTCTTTGTATCGGTTTATGAGTTATGGTGGATACTGACACACACAGACACACACACAGACACCATCCCGAAAATAGTCAAAACGGATTCAGGGGACCCCAAAACGTAAAAATCCGTCGACAAACTGGAGGTCGAAAAAATCATGATTCCTATACTTTTCTTATCTGTATACAGATAGGAAAGTAAAAAGTGAGATTAATCCAAAATATTTACTCCTCGTACAAATATTATATCTAGCCAAGTTAGATAAATACTTTTAATCAGCGATAAACTCGTCAATACTAAGGTCTACTGGGAAGACTAACAGTTAGGTATTAAGTTGATTAAATAAATCAGTGTCGTAGCAAGAGACAGGTATATGGTTAGTAGTAGTAGTTTATTTTTTTTATCATATTCTAATTAATTCGAGGTAAAACGGCTTAAAATTAAACATAACACTTTTACGTTTTAATTACTACTACTACTACTACTACTACTACTATACTACTACTACTACTACTACTACTACTACTACTACTACTACTACTACTACTACTACTACTACTACTACTACTACTAAAAAAAAAAAAATGTGGTGGAATTAAATTAATCTGAGTGAACCTGCCTAAATTATTGCGAAAGTTTATCACCGTAAATCTAGAGTTAAATATACAATTAATTAGTTTTAAATCCATCCATATGCTTTATAGTGTTTAGTGCACATGTTCGATTGAAAGTGATAGTTTTCATAACCGTTAAAGTGAAAAAAGTGAAAAATTCTCATTGAAACATTTTACTGTAAGTAGAAAAAATATTATTACCGAGGCCCTTCCTATGGGGCCTCAGTATTGCATTCGTGCAGACGAAAACATTTTCTGACCTCCATTTTATAAAACTTTTTTTCATGTTTCTGATCATTCTGAGTACGAAAATCCAAAAAAAAAAAATTTACGTCTGGTCGTCTGTGTGTATGTATGCCGGCACGATAACTCTAGAACGAAAGTTCTGATTGACTGGCGGTTTTGATTTTCTTGAATAATTACTTCTAACTTAGAACCCTATTGATTTTCAGAATTTTCGGTTCATCCTAACTACTTTAATAACAATTTTCTTAAAATCCGTCTATGCATTCCTTATGTGACAATTTTAGGAATTTCAATTATTTCTAACGTCAAAATTCCTAACATTCTCTACATTCCATAAATTGCAAACATTCTCTAACGACCTGTCAAACAACAGCTGTTGATAGTAAAGTGAAATTTCTAAGGCGGGTTGCGACCTTCATACTTGCAACCATATAGCCATTTTGGAGGCTATTTTCATTCGAAATTAGTCGCCAAGCCTGCCAATTTATGAAAAATATATAATCAGTTTCTTAAAAATGACTTTTTTATGGTGGTGCTAACTTAAGCGTACTACTATTTTGCCCCTAGCCATAAGAACACCTTCATCAAATTTACTGGCTCTCTGTTGGAATCCCATAGAATAATTAACAGGCTATTTTATTTGGAAAAAAGCAGAACAATGCTTGGCTGTGCTTGTCAAGTATCAAGATGTCAACTGTGATGTGTGAATGGCTCTTAAATGTCAAATTATTTAAAAATGTATGCTTTTTTTGATATTTATTGCAAATAATTTGTAGTGTATCTCAATTCAGGCTTTCCATAAATAAAGGTACAGCAAGATAAATAATATAATGTTCTTATACAAAGCACTTTTTTATTATATAAAAGAGAGTTAGGGTATAATGGTGGTTTTTTGTAGGTAATTTTAATTATACAGTTTTGGATTACATATTCAACCAGCGAATTGTAAATAATAATTAGTAAACTCCTGGTCATAAATTTCCCCAATTCATAAAATTTAAAAATGAATCTTCTTACTTTGGGATTTTAATGACGTAATGACGTAACCATTTCAAATTTTGATCAGTTATGATACCGAGGTATTTTGTTGTGTTTTTCATTTTAATTATAAAATTGTCATTTATTTGTATGTTGAAAGAAGGCCTTTGTAAATTACATTGCTCTCTATGGTTCTACTTTAACACAAAAATAGTTTTATGGCTATAAGTTGCTATAACCTATCGTCGCAAAACTATTAAAAATTTAAACATAGTAGAGTAGTAAAACAAGGTAAAACGAGGGGTAAAATAACAATAAATTAAGGAAAATACTTAAAAAGGGCAGGTTTAAAGAGTGTTGTCACAAGAAAGTATATCCGTTCTGTTTATTTATCACGTATTGTTTGATATTACTTTTGAATACATTTTATTGTTGCTTTTTTTTTAATTTCTGCAGGCAGTCTATTAAATTTTTTAAACCTTTAATAAAAATTGTATTTTGGGAACTTTGCCGTATATGAAAGTCAGATTGGCTTCTTGTATTATAGTTGTGATATTGTGAATTATATTGAATTTTTTCTAATAGATCTGATGCGCTGAATTTATGTCCTTTTTATTTTATAAATAAATATCAGTCATATACTGAACATAATTCTGAACCAAAAGCCAATTTATTTCTTTTAACATAGTTGCAATACTCATCCTTCTGTCCTTTATTAATAGAATATAAATAGGCGAAGTAAGGAGCCCAAATATTTTACATGAGCAGGCTTAAGAGGTAAAGGGAGCAATTATTATTGGATAAATTGCTCGAACAACTTTTTAAACCCTAATCAAAAGGCGATATAGAATGGTTTTAAAAATCAAGGCTTGTGAAAATCATCACATGGTTTAACCTAAGTAATGCCAATGTTTCACAAACCAAAAAATTCAACGTTCTAATACTACTATCAGCTTTCGGTCTTTCGTTCCAAGTTAAATAATTTCTCGTTTTTGTTACGCTACGAGTTTACCCTTATGGGCCTCAGTTTCGATAAGGTAGGAACCACCATTTTAGGTTCTCTCGAATTTGGTTTTATTTTTTACTCACGTATTACTACACAATTTAGATTGCACAAAAACATAATTATTTAAATTTTCAAAACCAAAAATATCAACAAATTTTAGATTTTCACTAAGTAAAACACTATCTACCTACAAACAGAAGTTTTTTTAAATGCCTTAGAGTTTATTTGACTAATGTGAGTGTTATACTGTCCATAATAACTCCCAAATCGCGAACATTGTTAGTTTGTAGCACACAATTATTAATTCTGTATGAATAGTGAACTGGAGAGGTAATTCTAAAAAAGGTGAACTGATGACATTTTTTAACATTTAAGTATAACACATTTACATCACACCAACAGGACAATATATTTAAATCCTCTTGTAGTAACAAAGCATCTGTTTCATTGGAAACTGATCTAAATATTTTTTTCTACACCCGTATTATAATAATGCACTTATATGCCCATAATCCGTTTCATAATGATACCCATT